TATATATATATATATATATATATATATATATATATATATATATATTCACATACTACAAATAAAGAGGACTAATACAGAATTCTTTTTTAGGGTAATTTTTCTCTGTAGTCATTGAGGAGTCTTCAATAAAAGAATAACTGCTCAACCTATTTAATGCATTTATTATATAAAATCATAAATTAATTTTAACATGAGTTTATTTGTTCAGCTTTATTAGCAAAGGCTTCTTAAAAATATGGTTAGAAATTATAGACGTACACATAAACTCATCATCTGTTGGTAAACTGTGATTAGCATTGATTTGAACTGCAAAATGTTTTTGTCGCCCTTTAGTTTTTGGGCCCCTATCCATGGGTGCTTCCAGTAATGAAGACAATACTAACTCCCCTGTCACACCTTGACGATTTCGACCAGGGTATGCATGACGTACGAAACATTTGGCAAAAACGCAGGCATACGCTGAGCACGCTGAAACACGCTGGCTCACGTCAACAAATGGCAAGTACATCGAGAAATGTTGAGCATGTTAAAATTGCCCTAAAAATTTAAAAGATATTTAGAAAGTTCAGCGCATGCCAGTTTTTTAGTAGATTCTGGGACGTTGGGCATACGAATTGACATGGTATGACAGGGTCCTTAATGAATAAATATGCGCTGGCACAGACACTGTAAGTGATAGGTCCCTTGGACCAGTCTTATTTTTTTTTACTGTTTCATTTAAATAATAATAGAAAAATGTAATTGTTCCACATTTAGCTTAAATCATATTGAGATATATTTACAGAGTTGTAAATTGTTTCACTTGATCTTTTAAACAATGAACCATTGGTGCCCCTATGAAAAAATGGCCTAGAACCACCACTGCACCCCTCAGTGCACATTGGCCCCTATGAAAGTTTTGGAACCGCCTCTGTACCTCATGTTGTTATGTTGGTTGTTGTGAGTACATCTGATCAGCTTAGGTTTAGCAATCACAAACAGAAAAGAAAAAAAAAAGCCTTTCTGCTGCCACTGGATACCGGTTGCATGTTGACACTTGTTGGCGCTGACTGTGGCCCATTGATCAGTCTGCTCTCTGACATCCTCAATACGGTGCAGGACTGGTGGCTGCCTGTCACCCGCAGCCAGGGAAAACGGGTCAGCCCCCGCAGAGCTTGTCATCCACAATGGAGAGAAAAGGGGTGGTGAGGGGGGATTAGTCCATCCATCCATATCTAGAGAGTCAGCGCTGACCTCACATGCCACTGTACCCCGACAAACGTCAATCCGATGTGCCCCAGGTCCTTAAATTAGCTGTCAATTAGTGCAAATTAATCAACTCCTCGCCTAATTAAGCAATGCCAACAGGCAGCTACCAAACACGCCGTTGTCGGGGGGCCATGAGAAAGCTGCAGGGATTGCAAATTCAGAAAGTTGTGGAGATGAGAGGGGATAGAAGGAAGGGGGAGGTTGCATCACATCACGCCCTGCAAGTGCAGCTCATGCTCAGGTTTTTTTCCGCCTGACTCAACACTGCATGTTTTCTGTCATCAGGTTTCCTGGTGCCTGTTTCGACAGCAAGGGCTTTGACTCAGCACTCAGGTGTTGCAGGAGAGCTTTCTTTAAGCTCTGGCAGAACATTGGTATTTAGATTTGCGTAAAATGATGTGCAAAGATCTGCAGCTTTAAGGTTTGACCTCCCCTCATGATATTAAGTAGGCCTACACTTTTAAAGATTCAACGGGTGCTTTCAAAGCACAGTGAGATGCATGTAAGTGGACGATATTATCCCTGTGCTGACACATTTTCAGATTTTAAAGCTTTTAAGACCTTTCCTTGGATCTTAATTTTTGCTGAACAACAGGGCAGCAGCAGGATGGAGCAATGGGAAAGACACATGCGTTCAGAAGGGGAAGTGGCTTTGGTTCACAGGGAGTAAAAAAAATCAGCAGATGTTTGCTTTTTAATCTACTGCCGTCTATCAGATCTTACAAATCTTTGATGGGGGGACCCAATCTGCACGAATGGCTGAACTAAATCTCCCCTTAATCTAGAGCCTTATTAGGAAGCCTCTTTTCTGCATGTAAATCAGGCTGCACCCATTTCACCGAAGACGGATTAATGGAGAAGAAAACAGAAGAGAAAGCATTCAGCTATAAACAAACACAACAAACAAACAAATAAGCTCTATGGATTGCAGAAGGAGTGATGATGGAGTGAGAGGCCTTCTCTTGGACACCCTTCCATGTTAATAAATGACTCTATCCCTAAAGACTGGCGCGTCATTAGCATATCCTAATCACATTGATTTCTTCATTAATAGAATTTCCACTAAATAGGCCCTAATTACTTTCAACCGGGCAAGCAGATATTACTGCTGCAGCACTAATTGCAGCAGCAACATTTTTTTTCTTTTTCTCTGTATGGTTGTTTCTTTCTCACTAATAGAAAATGTGACTTTGCAATGCGAATTTTTGGTTCTACGCTTGTGAAAAAAAGCACTTCATCTTACAGGTATTTTTAATGGATTGACTCAAAGTGTATTTTTAGTGGTGTAGATGTTAATGATATAGTCAGAATTCACTTATGCTTGTTATCTTTTCTTGTGACAATATTATACAGCAACACTACAGACCTGTGCAGTGTGAGTGTGGCTAAATAAGATTTAAAGTTTGACATGTATTTTTTTGCCAGTGTTTGGCTGGTAATTACATTGTTAAAAATAATCACAATGTATAAATAATTTTTTTTAATATTATAGTTACCACAAGATTGCCCCAATTATAACTGGTATAGTATGTACAGTATTAGTATAAGTATAGTAACTGGTATATTTGTATTTTATCATATTTTTTCATTATATATATATATATATATATATATATATATATATATATATATATATATATATATATTTTTTTTTTTTTTTTATTTTTTTCTGTATCTTTGTCCATTTTTGCTTAATATACTAACTTTAAAATTCCAAAATAGGACATTAAAACAACATGTTCCTTCAATCTTCAGGTGGTGAAATACATTTCAATGGGAACAACAAATCACAGGTGCGGGGAGGCCGATGATGCGCGGTAGGGTTTTAGTTAATAATTGGGCCACCTAGCAAACATTTTGGTCTCCAAAACGGACAATTTAACATGTGTTTTGGTTCCCAAGACAGCATTTTAGTTCACCTTTGGCTACCAATAGGGCACTTTAGCACACATTTTGGCTTCCAAGTTGGTACATTAGCATGCATTTTTTTCAGTAATCGGGCACAAGGTGGGATGATCTATATTAGTTTTTTTCCTTTTTTGCAAGGTGGTATGTTTCTCCCAACAGGTAAGCCAGGCTGCCTTTCAGAGGCCGGGGTTGAAGCTACAGAGGATGTAGCAGCTTCTGTCCGTGTGAATCAGAAGGGGGATTAGGGGCTTATTAGCGGCACGGAGAGAAGTGTAAGTTGTTGGGGAGTGAGCTGGCTGAGCCACGGCGACATCTCCAGCTGAGAACAATCCGAGCCATTGTCTCACCTAATTACAGTGGATGGACTTCTTTTTGTTTCCATTCAGCATGCCTGTCTGATTCCCCTTTTTTTGCCCAGCCACCGGCTCAGACTACACTGAAGTTTGCTAATTAGAAAAGAAACGGTCATCGTAATTATGTCAACTTTTATTAAGCAACAAAAACAAGTAATGTTATTTGTTACTTAACCTAGCTTCCAGTGCTCATTAAGCAGAAAGCATGGATGCCATTATGTACTCTAATGTCTGGGTTTTTTCGATGAGCAAAGGAAAAGGTGTTGTATTTTGACTTTTGCTATTATTGTTCAGGTTAAACCCTGCCTTTATTAAACTTAGCTGCTTTGGATGAAAAGTAACATGAAGTAAAAAAAAAAAAAAAAAAAGTCTCTTCTCATTTTAAAACTTTATTTTACAAGTTGAATAATTACAAAAAGGCAATTCAGGTCTGAAAGAAAAGAATAAATAATGAGTAATTAATTGAAAAATGTTGTAAGACAGAGCAAAGTTTAGTAAAAAGAGAAAAAAAAGCAAAGACATCTAGAGGACAGAAGGTGTAAGGATTTACTAGTTAAAATGAATACAGTCAAAGATTTGTCTGAAGATGTTAATGCACCGATTGCCTTGCAATCTTAAATGTCAGTCTTGTTGCTTGAAGAACATACATGGTCACTTCTTGGGCCTTTCCAATATGTTCAGAAACTTCCCTCTGGTCATTTCCCTGGCTGGAGAAAAAGAGAAAATATCAATTAGTTTAGATTAATAACATTACCTCAAATCGACAAGCTTATTGAAACCCAGATTTCTTTGACTACCTTCTAACAATCTTCCATATAAATGATCCACCTAACAAATTTGGATGCAATTTCAACAACATCAGATCAGCTACTTATTAATGGAAACCATGGTCTGTATTTTCACACAGGAAGACAATTAATACAAACATCTGTTCTTTCAAGAATGAGGAAAAAAACAACAGAAAGTTGGATGTAGTCAGATGGTATGATTGCAGCTTCAATTTATTGCCACTTGAGATTTTTACTGAAACATCAACATTACAAGGACTGAAAATCGAAAAGTTGGAAGAATAAAGTTCCACATATAATTAGAAAAATTGACTGAAATACGTCACAAGATAAGTACGAGCCAAACTTCACAATATTGATGCAATAACAGAATCTAAAGAGTAAAAACTGCAATATTTCCACATCATGATGGAAACCAGTGGGACAGATGGTGGCTAAGAGGCCTGAGGCAAAAGCCAAGTCACAAAGTATGTTCTTTGTTTTTCTATTTAAGCTAGCTTATATATTTAAAGGCAGGTAATATGAAGAACATTTTGTAAAATGAAATTTTACATTTATAATTAGGGTGATTTTTGATATCCTTTTAAAGAACTGGTTCTTAAAATTAGGAAAAGTAACCTCTGTTAATACTCTAGACTAATCGTTTTGACAGCAGTGGCCCAGTTTTTTAAGCATCATCATACTGATATAACTCCAGTCACGTTCATTAAAGTCAAATTTGTTCTATTGTGGTTCTTATTATTAAAAGTACCTTAAAGGAAAAATTTAAGCACATATTAAACAAACCTTTAACTTTTTGAACTGCAAATTTTATTTTAAGGGTTTGATGTGATATTCTTATTTTATTAGCTATGAGTGGAAAATAAAAATGAATAAAAATAAAGGCTTGAAAACATCAGTCTGCACGTAATCGATAAAGTGTTTCGCTAATGATAATTACTTAAACCACTAAGCTTAATGGAATAATTAAATGTAATGAATGGTTCTGTGCAAACAGCTGTCGTTCAGCAGAACTTCCTCTCTTTAGTTTATGTCATAAAAAATGATGGTGCAGTAAAGCAAAAACTTATCATGATTTATTGACTGAACAGTACGTGTTCAGTTTTTAATCATCAGTTGAAATTGAAGTAGGGAGGTTTCTGAGTGACAGGATCAACACCCAGACTTGCTGAAGCTCAATCTGATGTAAGTCCTGCATTTGTTAATTCTAACTAAAACAAACCTGAAAGTGTTGATCTTTCAGAAATGTCTTAGTAAAGCTTTTATTTTAAACAAACACTGAAGAATCATTTTCTAAGCCCTTCTATAAACTTTATAGGCAGTAAAACAGCCCATAAGAACAGGCAAACATCACACATCATGAAAAAACTAGAGATTTCTTTAAAACTGGAGCATTATTCATCTTTATAAAACCTGTAAAGATTGTGGTTAGACCTCCGCTCTCCACTGCCATCCCAATCTGCCAACAGTAGCTAATGAAAAAGTAGAAGCTTTTACTAATTTAGAAGAGCTGGTGAAGGTGAAATGGTAAAGGTGCATCTGGGCGTGTGAGTTTCATCACCTTGAGGTGTCCATCATAAGGTTAAAGATGATGCTAATTGGAATGGGATGAATTCCTTTTGCACTTTGCTGTCTCTTCAAATCACACTAAACAAACTCATTACCAACTTCTAGACATCCAGGGGGTGGTTTAGATTAAAATGAAGTCATTAAAAATAGGTGAGGAAAAGCAATTACACTAGGATGACCCTAAAACTGTCACTGCAATGGTTTCTCTTTGCTTTCTTATGCAAAAAACTGGAACAGGTAAATATTAGCAAGGTAATATTTTCAATTTCCAGGAGGTCATGACTTCCGTTTTGTTAGTGCTTCCTCCATCTAATAATGGGCTTAAAATGTAAAATATATCAAAGCTTTGCCACACCTCCTGAGATTCATCAACCAACTGAGCTGCTCATTAACAATGAATCGTTTTCTCCTTCCACAAGAAATGCAAAACTGGCTCACTGTGTTCAGAGCTTTTTCTGCAAAACTTTAAGTTAAATCTGGGTCTATGCTTAACGGGTTTTCCGTTGACACACCTGGTTACAATCACAATAGATCTTGAAATAGTGATACAGAATTACAGAATTAATGGTAGAAATTCATTTTTTAATCAAGGCCAGATCATGGATTCCGATCTGGACTTTAAATAAGACTTCTCACAGAAATGTAAAAAATTCTAATGTGTAAAGTGCAGTCAGTTCTGCTACAGTTGTTGGGGTAGCAGCATCAGAAACACAGATGATCCAATAAACAAGCTAATAGATTCTTTGGAAGAGCTTTCCAGCTCCCAGTTATCAGCATCTACAATGACTCTTGGAACCAAAAGCATTTAAATTGCCTTTGAGATTAAAGTTTGTTAAAATGTGAAGTGTTTTCATTAAAAACATTCCACTGTGAACCTTTACAAACCAGTCTCCTCTTTAGCACCCTAACATTTTGTGCGTTCACACTGAATGCAAACTCTGTGAAAATTTCGCCAGTTCTGTCTGCTTTTGCTTGCCTTGATGTTTCCCTGGCCAGCAAAAGCATTTTGCACAGTTGGCAAATTCGCCCGGTGGGCGAAAGTCTCCTACGTAATAGAATCTTCTGATTGTTGGGTNGAGCCCAGCCAGTCCGCCAGCTCAGGTGACGCGCGAGCGCTCTGGATTAAAGCCGCAATTATGCTGATGAAACACAGATGACAGGGGAAATTAGATTATTATTATTATTATTATTATTATTATTATTATTATTATTATTATTATTATTATTATCGCACCAGATTTTATTTAGAGTGTGTTTTTCACTGCATCAGTTTATTAAGCGCTGCTTAAAACGCTTCCATTTGTTTTTTTAATCCAGACTCCGAGGATTTATCTTCAAACGAACGAAAACACACAAAATCATCTTTAGGGCAGAACAAGAAACGCAAGAAAAGACGTCACCGGTTGGTGTTATTCTTTTTATTTATTATTATTATTATTATTGTGATGGATGTGTGAATACAAGAGGCCGGTTATTCCAATAGATAGATATATAGACATTTTCCTTATCGAGAAGATATATTTCGATTTTTTGTTTATTTTAATTACAAGAGAAAACAGCTACAGCCTTTTAGAGTGATACATTCAGAAATTTCTGAAATTTATTGTTCATATGTTTGAGTTTCATATATTTAGTTTATTCATGTGTCGAAATGTAGACAAAATCCCCAAATTTAGTAGAAAAAAAAAAATAAAATGTGCAACATTAGTGTGTTTTCAACAGCATGACCCGTTTCCACAGAACCATATTTACCTCCTATCAGTTGGAGGAGCTGGAAAAGGCCTTTAATGAAGCGCACTACCCGGATGTTTACGCTCGAGAGATGCTGGCCATGAAAACAGAGCTGCCTGAGGACAGAATACAGGTAAAAATGTCAGCTTTTTCAGAATGCCAGTTATATTTTCTGTTTGAATTAGGAAGATCTTTGTGAAGTTGACTTTTATCTGTTATTTCTCTGGGGAGGGCGGGGGATATAACCAAATAGGCACAGCCCAGTGGAAATACTTGCAAAGTGTTGAATATTTTAATTTTTATTTTTATATTTCCACCATACATTTTTTTATTGCATGCTTTAAGAGCTATTTAACAAACAGATGTTTTTTATTTGCATTTTTCTGTGTTTTATAATCAGAGCAAAAGCTCTGATTAAACCACTGCCAGGTTACAATAAAAAAAGAAAATGGATGGGTTGCTGTCATGCACTTAATAAATTACTGTAATTTTTCTAAAGATCAGATATAGGCTATTATTACAATGACTTTTGTAGCTGAAGTTGCCAACAGTAGATTCATAAAATAGCTCTCCTGCTGCAAAAACCTTACTGTAATTTAAAGCCCTAATTTTTAAGCATATTATATCAAATGTTTCTGTGGAAAAAGTGAGTAGAAAGGGAAGAGGCTTTGTTGCAATAAAAAAAAAGATTAATACATTTATTAATAAATTAATAAATAGATAAATTAGCTAATTGAATAAAATGTATACATTTAAAATAAATAATAACTATAATCTATAAACTATAATCTATGCCAACCTGTGCTGCAGGGTTGGCATCTGTTTTGTGGTTGCAGCTTAAGAAGGCCCCAATTGTAGAAACAGGCTGTGGTATTAAGGAGTACTACTTTAATTATGAAAAAACCACAAGAACTTACTGGGAAAACCACTGGGAGGGCAGGCCATTGAACACAGAGATGAACATAGATGGAATGCGTGGAACAGAGAAAATGTGGAACAGCTTTAACAGGATGAAAGCAGGGGAGCTGAGGGAAAATTACAATTTCATAGATAGAGCTGAATTAAGAAACATCACCTACAAGCTGAGGGGAAAATAGCAACTAAAATTGTTCAGAAATACTTCAAATTATGCAAAAAACACAATGCAAGATTAAACTAAGAAACTCCAAACAAAGTAGTATATATTTATGAAAAAAACTGTGATAATAAACAAAGCTATAAAATTAAATACATAAATAGACAAAAAAAAAGAAAAGAGAAATAAATAAATTTTTTAATAAAAAAGAAGAAAACCCAAACCTGTTTGGATCATGACATTTTACATGACCTCCAATAGCATTTAAGGTCATATCTGTTCATGAAGGGAAGGCTTTTGATAAAAAAAAAAAAAATTATATTCACCACCCAGATTGTCACAGCCTTCAGGCTGGTGCAAGCACTCAGAAAGACAACACAGTTATGTCATTTTCTTACCAAAATTATATTTTTGTTGCTTATTTATGCCTTTGCCACCCAAACCCTACGCTGGATTCATTATTAAAATGATAACTTTTAAGCAATATTCAAGTTTAATGACCCATTTTTTAATTGTAGGATAAACCTTGATTGAGACGACAAAACTGCATGTTGTTTTTTTTATTTTATAAAACTTTTACCCCTTCTAAAAATTGACCTCTAAATTTTCTAAATTTTTTAATAAAACGTTTAATTATGCTTGCATATCTATATATGAACTACTTCAGTCAGTTACAATGTTTTTAAAATATATTTATTTCAGAATCTCAATTAACCCAATGAACTATAAATTACTTATACAAAGACCATTCAACTCTATTTCTGTTGATTATCACAACTTTCCATTTAAAGCCTGTTAATGCATCATACCTGTATAAATGTGGAAATATAATATATTTTTGAATATAGAACCTCCTTCCTATGAAAAGTATAGGTACTACCAGTTTAAATCGTATTTTCAATATCTGAAAAAAGCCTAATTGGAATGCATTGTTTTAATGATAGATCAATATCAGTTTGATAATTCTTCAAATATAGTGTTTCTAATTAATTAAACTTGAAAAGAAAAGCTTTATTTTTACATATTTAAGCTTTCTTTCTTCGGTTCTTTACATAGAATAGATCACTCGGAACAAACACTGTTTAATGTTTATGTATTGAATTACTATGAGACATGAGAATAGATTTTGACAGAGATTGTAATCCTACTCAGAACAGAGAAATGGCTCGTGTTACAGATGGCAGTCTTACCACAGGAAGTCGGCCCAGAATACCAGTAAAAAAATAATTTTATACACGCAGCCTGTCACATCTCACATCATTACATCACACTGTACATGAGGAGACTTCACTAGCTCCAGCAATATCAAGATATTACCCTGTGTTCTTAGATCAAGGACAACCCAAATGCACAGTGACAGCTATATGTTAAGAATAATCCACTCTGTCCCAAATCTCTTTACATAATGAAGATGATAACTTTCTATCTTAACAGAGGAACTTTCCTAATTAGCTAGATAAACTGTTTGGGAAAACATTAACCTAAACACATAACAGGCAGGTATTATTAGGGTTTAACAAGCACATGCACGAATAACAGAATATAATCCTATCAAAGGTGATTTTTTTATTTTTTTTTTTTTTTTTTATTTTTTTTAACAGTAGACTTTATGAGGGGAAATAGTGTGTCTTTGGTTGTGGGAGGTGTGGCAGAAGACGCTGCTTGCGTTGGGCTGCATTCACACACAACCTTTTGCTGTGTTTTTATTTTTTACAAGCAAACAGCAAGAATTTAAGATGTTTAAAATTTTAAAGTACTGATCCTTATCTCAGCAGAATATTTCAAACAAATGCCAAGAGATACAGGGGTGGAGAGCTCCAGGCAAGAGCCTCCATCTTCATATGCTATACATATTTTTAAGGAATCTCTCCTCCATCTATTTGAGATTCAAACAGAAACAAGCTGGATGTAAGATCTTAAACAGGTAATACAATTTTTAAGAAATTCTCTAAACTGAAAGGTCATAATCTGAACTTTAATCTTTGTTCAAACAACTTCAGCATCATTAGGTGTATAAGAGTATTTTCTTCCACCAATTATGCTGCATACAATACAATGAAGAAACCCATTCTCCTCTGAATAGAAAGGAAACGAGGTGCAATTTACAATTTTTTTTTGCTTTCATAACTGCATATGGCACCCCTGCAGCAATATTAAGTATAATTATAACATTTAATTTCCCCTATTGGAATAACTAATGATCTTGAATGAAACAGACCCATTGTTGCGCATACATGCATGTCTAATCAGCAGGTGAATAGAGATTTCCATCTCCCTCCCGTAAATCAGCGTTTATCTCATGCTGTTGCATTTTTGTGAGGGGCACAGGTTCCTCTTAGTGCTGCTCTGGTGTTAAAGGGAAAATGGTTCCTCGCACAAATCGATCACTTTCGCCCACTTCCTGCCTGAACAAAGGAGGCTCTCCTCCTCCTACTCTCTGCGCAGCAACAGCAGCATCTTCGCCAGGACAGATAATCTCTCATCAGGTGCAGTTGGATGTGAAACAATTTGTTCTCGGAGAAGGAGCCGCTAACGACCTAATCAAGCCATCAAGGCGGAAGAAGATTGCGGTGTGACCTAAACTCATCCATCTGCCGGGGCGCCTTTTTTTTCAATCTCATTCTCATTAGGGGGCTGAAACAGTATGGCCGCGAATAAATAATAAAAAGGAAATAAATAAATAAGACCCCCCACCCCCGCCCTTCTCTCCTGGATAAAATTAACACCCAATTTTACTCATTGGGTGTAATTAGTTAAATCAGAAGAGCTCTGGCTCTGCTGCTGTCGATGGAGAGGCGCAGGGAGTTCAAATGAAATAACTACATTGAATTTATTAGCGCGGGTCAATAGCGCTTCTCCCCGGAGTCCCGGTAGTTTAATTTCCCGTGATATTTGCCCGCCTGCCCGCCATCGATTGGGCCTGAAATTAACTTATTTTTCAATCAGCGTCGGCGCGCCCCTGGGTCGCTCCTCCTCTGCGCTTTTACGCACCGGCTTCTTTTGAGGGACAGAGAAGCAATTTCTAAAAGAGAAGAAAAAATGTATATCTTGTATGAAAGGGTTATCATCAGAGCTACGCTGGGAGAAAAATCTTTGAGTCTGTTTGATCTTTTTTTTAAACCATTTAATATTTAATACACGTGCCTTTTATGGCTTCTTTTTGACTCCTGCTTTTTTTTTTTTATAGGAACCGTCTAAAGTGTGTAGGCAGAATGTTTAACATCTCTGTGTTGTGTCACTCAGTCCACTAAGCATCTTTGTTGGCTTATAGAGAGAAAGCTGTGGTGCTCCACAGGGGTCATTACTCAGAACTGTCATTTTTTAAGACAAACATCAAGTCAATTTTTAAAGGGACAGGCAGTTATGGTGCATTGGTAAGGGTAGTATAGTCATTTTGGACAATTAACATTTTCTAATGAATAAGAAGCAAAAAATTAGAAAGAATTAATTCAGCCTCACCTCTCATCCAGCCGCCTTCTGATGCACCGCTGCTGAAAGCCTATCAGCCCTGTGTATGCCTCTGCCATGGCCAATTATAATCTAGAATTCTGCTCTAAAAAGATGGGGTTCTCTCCTCCATCCATCTCCAAATTGCTTTCGTCATGCCTTCCTCCTTTGGTCTACTTTCCACCGACATTGTAAGGTCCCTGACTATCCTATTTCATCTACTCAGTCATATCATCATAATTCTCTATATGCTGCCTTCAACCAAGGCCTGAGCACCAAACATTATATTTCTTGTTTAAATAAAAGTCTAATTGTTGCTTGTCTTCTGTGTCAGTCTTTCCAGGTTGAGTGTTATGTAAAACATCTTGTCCATTCTCCAGATTTTTAATACCTCTCTTTGTAAGTCAGTATTTTTATAGATAGATCTTGAAGGAGTTTTTCCTCCCTCAATGCTGAGGGTTGAGGGAGACTGTGGAGTTGCTCCAAGTCGCTGACTCAGTGTGTTTGCTTTGGTTGATTGTCTAACTGTTCATTGTGTTATCTTTGCTTTATGTTGCATTTTGTGGTAAAGCTCTAGAGAGAAGATTCCCTGACTCACCTAATTCATCTGCTGTCATCAATAATATGGCATTTGGCTTGGAGTAAGAGTTACACTAATAATGACAAAAACCAACATGGGAATGAATAAATAAATACGTATTGAAAGTTACTAACAGGAACTGAAACACATGTCGCCAAAAAACACAAAGCTTGGAATAAAAACCAGATTTGATATTTAATGCACACACACACACACACACACATATATATATATATATATATATATATATATATATATATATATATATATATAT